CAAAAACAGTTTGGCAAAAACTTTTAAGCCCTGGACGGACCTGTGGTTGCCCAAAATACTGCCAAAAATATATATATATATATGTATATAAGTCTATAGATGGGCGAACGACAGGAAACACCTTTAATAGATTTTCCAATACGCAGCTAAAAGTGCTTATAAATTGAGAATTTAAATAATATCATAGGCTCGAGCAAAACTTTTTCAATTTGTTTAATACTACGACTCATCCTGGTTTAATGTTATATAATTTTCACTCCCTTACATTTTCTATTCATTGCAAAAGGAAAGTCAAATTTCGATTGATTGATGGGACATGAGCAGCCACAGGTGTGTGCTATATAAACCTGACTTACGTGTGTATGATAAATTACTCAAATGGCCCTCATCCTCTCTTTTCATTTTTCTCTGTTATTGTATTACATATCTGTCTTGTCACGCTGCGTACAGAGCTGTCAATAAGCAAATGGCCGCGATAAATCTCATGCGAAAATATCTTACAACAATTTTCTCGTATTTGGCTGGCACACAGCATGCCCAAAAGCAATTGTTCCGATGTTGTTGCAGCTTTAAATAAAACTCGTTGATATTAGTGACAGATTGTGTCCAACAGTGGCCTCACATTGTTGACATTCTGCGGCTTGTTGTCCTACTGACAATTTAATTGAAATGTTCTTTTTTTCAATCCGCCAACAACATGTTATATTCGAGCTTTGTGTACATATAAAGTGCTGGGAACTAGAGCGTAAAATGGAAGTAACGAATCGGATACGTTGTGTATACTTAATATTATATAAAATATATTTTTGTGCTTGCAATTTTAATATTATAAATATTTTGTATATATAATTTATTTAATTGGCAAGCATTTTGCCCAATCTCTGCCACAAAAGTTGGTTAACTTTACTATTCTTCTTCATATCTTGACAATAACATTCTATACAATGCCTGCTCAAAAGTCAGTAAACTCTTCATAAAGACCCGAGATTCAAGCAAAGAAAATATCAAATAGTTGAATAAAAAATGGGAATAAATGTTGGTGTCATGAATTTAATACCCTATTAAAATGTAATACAAAGTTATCCGATTGTGAACAGCTTGTCACAAAGTATACTATTTCTTTTTATACTATTCACTGATTAGATTCCTATAGAAACTTTATGCTATGTTGAAGTTACCCCTTCTGGCCATATCTAGTTGAGAGTCTCGTATGTACATTTTAACCAGCAGCATCGCCCCGATCATAAAATATACTTTGTCGCCTACATATTTAATGGCCATATTAGAATGCCCTCTGCAAGGGTATACAAGATATTTTATGCTGTCGAATGAAGCGCAAAACTTTCGCGTTTATAAATCAAAAACTTTCCATTTTCTTTAGTTTTTCCGGCTGCTTCTCGGAAACTTCCGATGCCATCGGCCAGACGAGAACCATTCAAATAAATAGTAAGTTAACTTTTTCTGCCATGGCAGCTCTAGATAAAAGTGAAACTTTAAACTTCCAACTAAATAACGCAAATTGATCGAATATACGCACAGAATGGGTTTACAAGTTATTTAAAGAACTCTAGTAGAAAAAAGCTAACAGATTTGTATTAAACATTTTTCAGAGCATATTTAAATTGGTTGGGCTCTATATATTTTATCAGATATAAAATATCTGTATTTCTAATGTTTTTGTGCATTAGGCAACAGTTTTACATTTTCATATACATATTTTTGCAACTTTTTTGTGCACCTGCACGGGTTGATAAAAATATGAATTGTTGGCACTTTGCCCAAAACCCAGCCACAGGGCAAAAATAATAATAATAAATTACAGTTATACACTATTGTGCGACCAAAAAAAAAAAAGTAAAATAAATAAATTATTGCATTTAGGAAAAGTGCAAATGGTGGGTAAGTGGCAAAAACGAATGTGTTAAGAGAAAAAATCACATACAAACTAAATTGTGCTTAAACTATTACAAACGCTCAATTATACATAATTGTGCCTACAGTATGAATTATTTATGCCTATGTGTGAGTCGGTGTGTGCGTGTGTGTGCCTGTGTGTGTTTCGTGTCTGACTTAAATAGCAGAACTAAATATTAATAATGTCAAGGCACACAGCCACAGAATGTGAGAGAGACAGAGCAGGACACATAATTGTTTTGGTAGCCTCATTAAGCGCCAAGATGTGTGTCCAGGCTCAGCTCTAGGAGAAGTTCATACGGTCAGGGCACAGCATGAGATTATGAATGATTATTCACTTAAATAGAAATTGCACAAAGTCGTCTCCATTTATGGCATTTAAAGCGTTGGAAATTTATTATATTATTTAATTCACATATCAATCTGTGACTGAAATTCAAATGGAATCTTAAGCGGCGCCTGCTTGGCATCATAATGAAGGAAGCAAACTAATAGTTTATTATTTTGGAAATATTTATTAAGAATTATACCGTAAGCAGGTAAAACAGACACATACTGGCAAAAGGAAATTCCAGTTAAAAGAGAATTTGCATTCACTTTACATTAAAATTGGTTAATAAAAATAATATGAATTTTTTCAGAATGTCTCGCTGTTGCAATTTGCGGAACCCTTCTTCCCTTTCTACCAATTGAATTGCTTTAATTGCAAGCAATTTTAATTTAAAAATATATTTCTCTGTCATTTTTTTTATTGAATTTTAATTTAATTAAAATTTAATTTATTTTTTATTCCAATTGTGAATTGTTTAAATTGATTTAAAATTGTTCTGGGTGTTAAACATATATGTAAAGTACATCAAATGTATTTAAAAGTGTTTAAAAAAAGGAAAAATGCTTAGTAAGCAGCCACTCAATTATCGCAAAGTTTCCAGTAATAAGTTGGCTTAAACTAAAGTCTGCTTCGTGGAACCCTCCTTTTACACTTTAGATACATTACTTTTCTCATGTGCAGCTGTCACTTTTAAAAAGTTGCCATCACCTCACGCTGTTAATTTGGGGCATAATTCGTAGCTCTGTATAAAATTTAATTAAGACGCTCGAAACTTTTTCACACTTTGACACAAGCCCCAAGCATATGCGCTGGCCGTGCCACTGGCCTCGTCCCCTTCCCCCCAAACTGTCCCAAGCTGCGTCCCGATCTTCATGGGTCTCAGTCGGTTAGCTCCAGGGGCGTTAAGGCAACTACTTTACTTTGGCTTTGGCAAAACTTTCGCATTTGGCCAGACCGCGCTGCATAATATTGCAAACTGTGAACTGGCAGCGAGTAAAATTATGCGCCCTGCTGAGCGCTTTGTTAATTATGCTGCAGATCCCAGTCGGTGGCGCCGTCGCAAGCAACTTCTTGCTGCTACTTCCTGTCATTGTTGTTGGCTTTCTTCGCCCGGCAACCGCAAAAGTTTTGTTGCACAATTTGCGCTTAAACAAAGCCAAAAACAATTTAATTGTCGCTACCAAAGCAGCCAGCTTGCTAAGGCGTGGCAAATGGGGCAAGCTTTATAGTGTATAGGTTATGCAATCTGAAGTCCCAATCGAACGAACTCTTGACACTGCCAGCAGACAATGGCCAAAAAACCAACTAACCGGCAACAGTCGTTTGGCTGCAACCAAAAAGCACAATCTTCCTGTGTTTTTTTATTCTTTTACTTTTGGTAAATACAAGCGAATCCACAAACTCACTCAGCAGCAAGCCTTGTCTTTTCTTACAGCCACTTTTATTTTATACATATATCTGTTTCTTTATCTTGTTGTGTGCTACATCGATGTATTTCATGGCTCGCTAATGAGCAAGGACATTAAATAACATGGCAACAGCGGCAGTATTTGATGCATGTTCCTTGTATGGAATTGGACACGAGTTGCAGCAATCCTGGTGACCCAAAACAAGAGGCACTTGTAATTGATTTCCCAGGCTTTGCCTAACGTTTTAATGTTTTAACAAGGACATTCTTGAGGTTTTCTATTTTTGTTAGCACTTTCCAAAGGCCTGCAACTTTGAGGCTTGCTACACGCAGACTGTGAAATAAAATTCTTTTCAAATTTAAAAACGCCTAAGAGCGTCACTTTGGCATTGCGCCAAGGCACAAGACATTGGTCTAGGCCCACAACTTTGTGCGCTGACAAGAGGCAGCCGCAGCAGCAGCAGCAGCATCAGCAGAAGCAGCAGCAGCAGCAGTCGCCCTGCTTCAGCTAAAAGGCACTAAAAAGGCAGAAAAATGCCTGTAAGGGCGGGGGTGGCTGTTTGGCATGGGGAAAATGTTACAACTACTGAAAACTTGTTATCTTAATGGATATTTTGTACTTCGTTTGTGGTTTAAATTGACTCACTCGGCCGCCTGCTAGCTCGCTAGCTAGTTGCTTGCCTCCCGGCGCACATAGCGAAAAACTGGCAAAAAGAAAGAAAAGCTCTTTTCTCCCTCTTGTTGCATTATTTGTTGAATATGTTTTCTTGCCATTCCTTTTTTTTTCTTTCCTTTTGCCAATGAAGTTGTCGTGCAACCACTACACAAGTAAATTCAATATTATAGTAGTAGTAAAACCAAACCCTAAAGGTTTTCCACAAAAAACTATTGAATAAAGGCTGCTATTGAATCTGCCTTAATTAAATTTTTTGCTCTGTGCCACACGTCGTATACGCAGTTTATGCTAATCAAACTAAAATCCACTTATATACGATCCTCAATTAAAAAGAATCAATTATATAACTGTAATTGGATAAGTAAAAAACCGTCGACGCGACGTCTTGAATGTCAAACAGCGACCGTGACTACCAAAATTTAATTAAGTAAGCGAACATTTCGGTATGTGGGCATTACCTATTGAAAAGTTCATTTAATTTAACTTTCGCTGCTTAACAAATTCGTAGAATATTTACGCGAAGTTGAAAATCAACTTGGCTTTGTGTGAAGCTAATGAAATGGAAAAGCGTGGAACGTGAAGTGCTGACAAACATTAAGAAAGTCAGGTGTGAAAGTCGAACAGTGTAGAATAAATAGCATACTACTTTTAATGCCAAGTTAATTTCCGCCTCAATTCAATTTGATTTCAATGTGATTTTGCCACTTGACATAGAGTATCTCAATGCCCAGCACGAGTAGTGCGATGCCATAGCTTAAGAGCAATATAATCAGCGCCGAGCTCACAGTATCCATATCGACCTAAATGTAACATAAATTTAGATACATTCAACTTAAAGTTCCGTACAACTCACGTGTAAGTCGGAGGTTTCAATTTTCTTCACACAGGGCGGTTTTCTCGAGTGCCAAACATTGAATTGATATGAGTAGATGCCCGTTTCCGTAACACGTCGCAAGCTTTGCAAAAGTTTTAGGTTTATTTATAAAATATTTACTAAACTCTCCGTTTCTCACACTCACCCGTATGAAATCACCTTACGCATGGGTGAATTCTTTTGGGTTATGCAAACCGTCTTTTGCGGTGCAAACATGCTGACCTCTGTGAGATCGCAAATCTCGCGCTCGCTGAACGTCTCGGAAATTATTTTGTAGGCAGCCGCAACATCCACGTGAAAGGCAAAACCTATATTCCAATTTATTAATACACACACACACACCCACATACAAATACAGCTCATCTTACGTTCATGTTTGACACGCCGCAAGCCCGTATCGGGATCTAGCCAATTAGTGGCCGCATTCTCCTTGGCATGCGCGCCCACCTCATGACTGTGCACAATGTCGCGATAGGATTTGGACGCAGCGCCAGCTGGCGGTGGCTCGGCGTCCTCCTCACCGCCGACGCCTCCGCCAGCGCCGTTAGGTGGCGCTTCATTATCCTTGTTAGGTGGCAAGCTGGTTATTTTCTTGGCGTACAGCTCCATGGAAACGGGATCTTTGGTGTTCTGCAATTATGCATTCAAGTATTTGGTGTTATTCTAAATATCCTTGTGGCCTACCAAGAAATAATCCCGATTGTATGCTATATCCTCGACGCCCACCTGCAGCGTGCTGTGCACCAGATCGCGCAGTGTCTTGATGGTCTTCGGTTTCTCCATCAGCAGCGTGCCCACAATACTAGCCGAGTAAAACTGATAAATACAGAAGGAAAAGAGCAGACTGGTTATGACAATGGTGCGGCCCGAGGTAAAGCTAGTGGAGAAACCCAAACCCTGTTGGCAAATGATGCCCACAAAGAACAGCACCGATTCCAGAAAGAGACCCTCTCGCTTGGATGATTTGCCCTGAGCCTGACGCTTATTGATGTAGTTGCTCAATCTTGCATAGGAGCGCTGCCAAAACCCGCCCTTGACTGGCAGCAGTTGCAGTGAAGCAACTGACTCATCGTCCGCAAGCTGCGCCTCCAATGCCGCCACAGCATCCACCTCCTGCTCCTGCTGCTGCTGATGATGGTGATGATGATGCTGTGGAGCGCCGCCCTTTGGCTTGATCAGCGCTGCACCCTGCTGCGGCATCAGTTTCCACTCAATGGTGGTCAGCAGCCAAAGTATGAACACAGTTAGGACACCGCACGCCAAGATCAGCACCCAAACATCATTCGAAAAGGGCTGCAGGAACACAATGCGATCCTTTTGTGTATTTCTGGGATGCCTGAAAATAAAACACGGACGACCGGACCAACTGCGACCGGCCGCATCGATCCACTTGTGCCGCTCCAGCCAATAGAAAATTGGAGCACCGCCAATGTCCGTCTCGTTGCGTATGAGCGCTCCAATCATGCCATCAAAACGGCCATTCTTCAAGTAGCCCCAGGTGGAGGTGCGCGACAACACAAACGTCCAGTTGAACATGTCCCGCACGGCCATCAGCAGATTGAAATTAAAGCGATTCATTGTATCGATATGCGACGATACCGTGTGCGTTAGATAGTAGAGGAGTGTGCCCGTCATGTTCTTGTTGGTCACCTGCCAATGGTAGCCAGTTTGCAGTTTGAGCATGCCACCCCCACACACCCCCTCCACCAGTACCTACCACAACCATGCAACGGACTTGGGCGCGCTGCATGTCGAGACGTCGCAGCAGCGTGGATGTTGTCCGAAACCAACCATGTAGTTGCAGTCCGTCCGTCAAAGTGAAGCTGCCAATTTCCGTTATATTGACATTTCCGCCATAAATACGGCCTGGACTCCTGAGAATCGGAACGGGAGAGCCTTTTCATATTTCTATATTCATCATGAGAGTCTGTAGGGCAGCAAACCCAAACAAAAATTGTTGATTGCCCTAGTTTGTGTTTAGTTTGTGAACCTTGTCTTACACATCCATGAACCCAGGATTTTATTTTCACATGCATTTTTAAAGTTTTAGTACAACAATTTTAATTTTAATCTAATCGCCCATTTGTGCTGAAAATATGGCAAGCCTCAAATAAAAATTAAAAAAAATAATCAAATACGGCAATATTTTTTGGATAAACTCGTGTAAACTGAAGTGCCTCAGTCGAAAAAGTATGTTATTCAAACTGATTCTTGAAGAATTCAATTCTCAAACTTCTCGTTAGCACTCACTGTCAATAGCAACAAGTCAATGGCAAATACCTCTGACAGCTGTCCCTAGCAGAGGGATAGACACTCCAAATGCAACATACCAGACATCGTACAGTGAATAGCTGGCATCTTGGGGCGTTCTCTTTGCCAGCGTTAGCTCGGTGTTCATGTAGAAGTTCAGGGTCTCCATTAAGCTCTCAATGGGCTGCAGTTCATCCGTATCCGTGTCTGTGTCCGTAACCGTCAGATGCAGCTGCTGTTCCGCTTGCATGACGCCCGCACTTACGTGCAGCGCATAATCCTCAATCAATAGCCAGTGATATTTATCGTTGTAGAGCATCTTGGCTGAAGCCTTGCAAATAGTTGCAGCTGGAGCACTCAATATGCATAAGGACATGCTGCCGCCTGCCCGTGCCACTTACCATCTCCAGGAAACGACGACTTAGCATGCCACATGCCAAATCCACGACCACAATCTGCCGCAGTGCCTCCGCCTTCAGCACGCTGTCCAACCAGTCGGCGCTGCTCGCTGCCGTGCTGAGACCTGTGCCCGATCCGGCCCCCGGCCTGCCACGTGGCATGCCCCTGCCCGGCTTGGTTCGCACCTGACGGAGCACATCCAACATCACAATCCGCACAAAGGGTCTGCGCTGCACGTTGTCCTGGTAGAGGCTACCAATGAGCTGCGCATTCTTGGCATCGAACGCCTCCTGCAGTTGGCTCAGCTTGGCGCGACTGGCGCGCACATTGCCCGTGTCATTGTTGGCGGGATTGCGGCAGCTGAAGTAAGTTAACCTCGGTATTTGTTTGTGCCGCTCCGCGAACTCCAGCATCAGCCGGCTCTGCAGCAGTGCCGTTTTACGTGGCTCTAACTCCGCTGCCCGCAATCCGGCCAGCAGGCTAACTAATAGCAAAACGGTTGTGCAGCCAACCATGACTTCGAATGGCGCTTTGATTGCCGTCGAACGGCTTTATAAGAAGTTGCCCACAACTGCTCAATTATGGATCAATGTCGGGGACATTGCGTGCAACTGTCAAAATTCTGAAGCGATGAATCGGTAGCCATAAATCGGCCAATGGAATTTCACTTTTCTTGTCAGCTGACACAATTATTATTCAATTTCAATCAATTAGCTTTCATAATTCATAAGCCATAACCCCCGCACCCGACCGCATACATTTGCATTTGCATGTGAATGGGAATGTGAATTCGTATGAATGTCTTTTCCCTTGCGAAATATTCGTATTGTTAATCTGTGTGCGTATGTGAGTGTGTGTGTGTGTGTGTGTATGTGCTGTTTTTGTGTTTGTCCTTTGGGTATTCATTTGGTTTTGCAGTGCGCCCATGTCACAAATTTTGACAGTTTGTCACTTTAATTGAATTTCTATGCAAAGGTCTCTGAGAAGTTTATAGTAGCACAGGCTTTTTTTATTAAAACTTACATAGCTTTTGTTAAAGACGTGACAACGGAAATTGGTAAGCATTTACAGAAGATTCTTAAATTAGAGACTGATATATACTTAATATGATGTTTGACCACAAACATTTCTCAACTTTACATCTGCAAGGCATCTTAAACAAGCTCATAATTGGGAAACAAATAAATATTAAATGCATAATTTAAAGAAAACTGTAAACGCGCGCGCAGGTCTCTAATTGCTGACCTTAAAACATATTAAACTTTATGTTTTTTTGTGGCAATTTTTCGTATTTCCTGACTTTTAATATTTTGCCATGGTCATTATTTAATTCGGTTTTTGTGTTCAAGCTTAAAGCAACGCAAGACGGCAACCGGCAATGTCCACGGACCTGGCCACAAAGTCATATTTCCTTATTATCTGGGCGGGGCCATCCTCGAAATACCTAAGACAAAAAAAAAAACAGAAATGGAATTATTAATGGCACTGTCCATTTGCTGCTAAGTGGCGCAAATTACATTTTTGTTTATTTTACTTGAGGTTTTACGCTGTTGTCTTATTTTTTATTTATTTATGTTTTGTTTTTTTTTTTACTTTATCAAGTTGACTTCTTGGCCTTAAGGCGTCGTTGCTCCTGCTGCCTGTCTTATAATTTTTTTTTTTGTGTTTAAATTTTATTTCGTTTAGTCCCAAAGCGTATTTTGTTTGGCTTTTGGCGTTCGTTGAAATCCTTAATTGTTCTTGGCAGCAAACGGAGCGCGAAGACTTTGCGTTTGCCAAGCGCGTCGAAGCACAGCGCTTTAATGGCTCCACAATGCTTCAATACCTTTTTGTCGTTATTTATTGGCCCCACAGCGTGCATGTGACGGTGCGTATGCGTTATATTCAGCTTGTAATCGGATTTGAAGTCTTTTTGCCGCAACTACTACAAAGTTGAGTGTAGCCCAAAAAGTTTGGGCAACTTAGTGTTCATGCAATTAGAAAATACTTGCATATGTATGAAGATATCCCACTGAGGGTTTTGCTTTGTCTTTAAAGGGCAGGCACTTACAGCAAGTAACTGTTGCCAAATTGTCACTAATGAGTGGTAAAGAGCACATTTGCAAGTGCAACGAGCAGTGAGCCCATAAAAAAACAAAATAGAAATAAAAAAAAGAAAAGATTCCACAAAAAACTTGCCCAGCAGGAAAACTTTTCATGAAAGCAAGTAGTTTTCATCCTTTCTTCCCACCACTTCCATCTCACTCTCTCGCACTTTGCGTGCCTGGCATATTGGCCCCATGAAGTGTCAACGGCAGTTGCAACTGTCGCCGCTTTTGGGCTTGCTTTATGAGACCCTCCCCTTGACTGTGGCTAAAAGTCAGGCCAAGTGCAGGACTAAACCACAACAAAGGCGTGCAAAAGCGCAAAATGAACAAGCACAAGCTGAAAAGCAGCGGCACAAAGTAAACCAGTTGGTTGGGGTGGCGGCAACGTGGGACTTGTTGGTGGCTAAAAGTGCCAAACGACATTTGCATGCAAATGATGCAGCCGGCAGCCAAGTGGCAACTAGCAAGTGGCAACTGAACCGACTCCCAATACTCGTAGAGGTACTGCAATTGCCCGGACGTGTAGCGTATTGGCCCAACCAGATGAACTTGCTTCGTGGCTAATGAGATCAGCATGCAAATGACCAGCGGCAGCTGCAGCCGGCCAAGACTAAGAGCTATGAGTGCGGCACTCAATAAGCCAGGAAATTGCAATGAAAGTAAGCCATTACAGCTGCACATTATACAGTTTACATTATGGCCCGTAAGTGAGTTACTCGCATTCATCAGCATCAGGCCCCCATAATATGACAAGCCACATTAATCAGCTCACGACTCACAGATCACAACTCACTTGCAACACGTAAACGCTAAAGGCCAAATGTGCTCTCTGCTGCCTCTGATGATGATTTCAATTTATGTTTTCTTTTACTGAAATTTTCATTGCTCAACCAGTGAGCCCGAACAGACTACAGACTGAACACGGCCAATGGTAATTTTTCCAGCTGAGCTGTTCTGACACAAGACCCTCTCAAGCCCGCAGCTAAATTTCAGCTTTATAATGTTGCACGTATTATACATACCTACATGGGTCAAATGGAACAGGTGTGCTTACACGGCTCACTGAGAAAGGACTCTGGACATGTGCACATCAATCAGCCTCAAAGACCACAAAGCAAATATCCTAATCAAGAGCTAAGTCACGAGGAGCAGCCTACGAGCTTAAGAACTTGAAGCTAAGTTTGGATATATTTTGACTTGGCTTATAATTTCTAGCGGGTATTTCCCTGCCTTGCCTGTGGAATGTTTTGTGTTTAAAATTTTAGATCTAACTTGTTCGCCCAATTTCCGCCCCTGAAAAATTATTATTTCACATACATAGTTAGTTCACATACATAGAAAATAAATTTGAAGCAATTCGGATAAAACTTCGAACTTCCACAGAGGAAGCTTGGATTTTGCGAAAAGTGTGCAACACATCTCAAATGATTTTTGATGATCTTAGCATGCACCTCCATTACTTACTAGTACTAAATAACTTAGTAACTAAAGTGCTAATTTCTGTTTCCTAGCTGTTATGGTTTGCGTTGATCACCAATTAGGCAGTTAGTCAGTCAGCCAGGACTAACAGTTTGATATATAGAGATTATGAGAGAGATATTTATCTTTGCCTTCTTTGATTCTCAGTGAGATTATATCTTGAGAAAGTTGGATTAGAAAAAGGATTAGAAGTATTGACATTTGAAGCAAGAATTTTCACTTTCTTTGGGCAAATTTTTACTTTCGCTTTTATTTTATTTATATTACTTTTTTTGTGCATTAATAAACTCGACTGTCATGTGGCATTTTTCATCATTACGCAGATGCCGCAAGTTGACAAATTTTCGTGACATTTTCTTATGCTTGTCGCTCCGGCAGTGTCAGCAAAACAAAAACAAGAAGCTGAGGAGGGCTGTACCCTCGCTTTTATCCTTGAAACAAATTTGCATCTTTCAGGATATTCTGGGTAAGTGAAAGCGCAGCTGACTGACAGTTGTAGTTAAATGGAACCGAAAGAAAAATGTTTATTTTTATAGTCCTTGCGGCGTAACAGTTCTCAGCTAGTTTCTACTGAAAGAGAAACACAATTTCAACAGGTATATTAACAAAAAATGGAACATCTCTAATTATACAAAATATACATAGACTAGCGGGTATACCCCAGCCCGTGGTACTATATTTTATATTTATAAAATAAAGTCTCTCAAAGATCTTTAAAAGTGAGTGTGAAACCGATCAGACGGTAAGCCAATTTAACAGTGTTGCGGGTGAAATTTTGCAGATCGCTGAAACACGTATTCAATAAGTTCTTCTGTAAAGGTTTAAAAATAATTTGTGGGGGTGGGAAAGTTTGACCTATGTCTATATAGGAAATTTCAGTAGTCCATTTTCACATTAATTTCGACCAGGAAAATTTTTGCCAAATTTAGATGGCCAATTAATCTAAAGGCCAAACCACTAAGAAAGAGCCCCACCTCGTGCAAATCTGATGAGATTTGACCGAGTTATGGGGGTGGAAATGTCTATATATGATATTTGAGGGTACCCGTTTTACATAAATGTTGACCAATTAAAATATTGATCTATGTCTATGTATGTATGTATGTATGTATGTGTGTATGTATGTCTGTATGAACGCATGCATGTATGTATATATGTGTGATTGTATGTATATGTCTCTTGTGAACATGCATTTAACCATGTATATATGTATGTGTATGTAAGTACGTATTTACACCTGTATGTAATCAGGTTTATATACATAAATATGTATATGTATGTTTGAATGTTTGTTTGTGTATGCATATATGTTTGTGTTTGTATGTACGTATGTGTATTTTTATGTATGAATGTATGTATGCATGTATGTATATATATGTGTCTATGTGAGTATGTGGGTTTACATATCTGACCATGTGTATGTATATATGTATATTTGCAAGCCCAAGTTTACTACCCGCTGCGCTGCAAATTTAAAAAAGAACCAACTTCATCAAATGCCTTACTACGCGATTCTCATTAATTCAAATAAGCCCCAAAAATTTAAACCATTGAGGAGGCGGTGGCTTCTACCATGGAGGAGACGGTGGCACTAACTATGGAGGAGGAGACGACTTAAACTATGTCGGAGGAGGCGGCTGCTTTAGGAGGAAACGGCTTCAACTTACGAGGAGGCGGCGGCTTCGACTATTAGGGAGGAGACGGTGGCATTAACTATAGAGGAGGAGACGGTGGCTTCGACTATGGAAAAGAAGACGGCTGCAACTATAGAGAAGTCGGTGGCTTTCACTATAGAGGAGGAGACGGCTTGAACTCTGATGGAGGAAGCGGCTGCTTTAATAATGAATGAGGAGGCGGTAGCTATAATAAAGCAGGAGCAGGCAGTGGCTTCGACAAGGAGGAGGAGACGGCTTCAACCAAACCGATGGTTAATAATGTTATGTATGTAT